CTGAATTGAGCAGCACCAGGAAAGCAAATACCTGAATCAGTGCACTATGAACGAAGGATCAGTCCGCGCGGCATTAAATATCCTTTTACACTTCTCCAGTGCTCTTCTACAACGATGAAATTTTGCCTGAGGTCGATCCCTTTTTGGGATGCGGTACGCACTGCTTGAGAAACGCAGCAGCTTGGCGAATGCAATATACAGTGGTTGCGCGGCCAGGCGATGCACGAGTGAGCGTCTGTTTCCTTCCAGACGAGCCTAGCAGCAATTCCGATCCTGGAGTTATAGAAGGCACGGTAACTCAGCGGTAACCGATGTGAGGTTTCACCCCTGGACAGTACTGGATAATATACGAGTCATCTGCCACTACAACTGCTTACTGGTTATTTGGTAATTCATGGAAAACGGGAATAAGAGGTAGTTAGTACCTCACAAAAGGGTGTTGACTGTAAGGGGTCGTACAAGTCTAATGCGCTTTATCAAATCTGTGGGATTCATCATAAGACGCAGGCCAGTAGGGCGCTGCAGGCAAACTGGTACTTTGATAATTTGGAAGAGTCCGGATAGGAAATACCTGACTAAAACGACGACTTAGTGTGAGTTCGTAGAAGACGGTGCCAAGTCGTGCCGACTCCGATGGTTTGGGAGGAACATGAAGCGGTTGTGCCATCTTCAGACGGGCCTTCAGATCATGCCAACGTCTCTGGTCTACAGTCAACAGCGCTGTTCCCTTGAAAAGTTGACAACGATAGAATTGAGATATGATGTGTCGTGGAAAGGACGTACTCGATTCTCCGTGTAGTTGGCAACCACGACACCCACGAACAGCGTCAATCCAATCATACAACCAATGAAGACGTAAATATGAATGAAAACGACGGCCCACTGAAATCAGGAATGTCACAAAACACAACTGAATTCAATAGGAACTGTAAGTGTTCTGAAATACGAACACCAGCATATCGGAAGTCATCATAACCGTCGAGGGCCCCATAGAGCTGCGGTATGAGAACTCGACCACGGCAGTCATGTTTTTTTTGGAGTGGCAGAACACTTCTATATCATTTACAGCAAAACAACCATTCACGTGCCCAACTTAGTGCCCATCTTGTAAAACCTCGACATTGTTATGGTCCTTGATATTGCTATTTTTCTACTGCGCCAACGAGGTCGGTAGGCCACCAGCGCATAAGTGGAACGACGCCACTCAGAATTAGTTGTAGTTAAATGTGGGGGAATACATCTTATCACTATAGTTTATTTCTGAAGCACGAGAGAGTCTGAGCTGTTGCTGTCGCCTCGCCAACTTTCCCAACAAGTCTGAAAGACACTGATAAAATAGGGTCCTTCATCGTCTGAGCGTTTTCACATATATTACCAATGAACAACTAACTACAACTAAGTCTGAGTGGTGTGGTTCCACTTATGCGCTGGTGGACTCGCCCTCTAAGGACGACGTAGGGTACAGCATCGTGATATGTGAAATGGTGGTGTCAGTACGCCCCCCCCCCGAAGGAATGTCTCGGTACGATCCCCTCCCATCTGAAAGTGGGTCTCGGTACGTTCCAGTCTTCCCAACACCTACCTATCACCTAAGGTGTGGTCGTCGGGAAAGAATTACTATTTCCGATAGTTGAAAATAGTAGTTCTATGAAATTTTGGGCCACCAACTAGTGAGAATATTGCCACTGCCAAACGGGGAAAACCGCGAAAAGTCAACAACCGGGAAAAATTTTTTCCCAACGCGGCAAATTTCTCTCAAAGGCACATACGACCCCCCTCTCCCAACAACGACCAAATACGACCCCCTCCTCCCAGCGGAAGTACGACCCCCCCATGTGTTTCACACTGCCGTGTCCTGGGACGACGATTTAGTCGAAACGTCAGGCCTTCAATAAGCAGTTCCACCTAGAACATCCATGTGCATCTTGAACGAACGGGGGTTCATCTTATCCTATAGCTCACTACTGGAGCATGGAAACGCCGTCTGAGCTGTTGCCTTCGGCAACATTCCCAACAAGTCGGTATGACACTAATGAAAAGTAATCCGTCTTTGCAATGGTCATTACTACATATACCAAAGAAAGTGTTTGAAATAATCGTAAAGGCGGCCTCAAATGTGCGTCGTATTGCAAATCGCTAATCAAGGAGTAATAAGGTGATGAGCGCTCGCTTTTAACGTTTCAGAAAACTCACAGGCCCTTGCCGGCTCCATAAAATGTCTCTGATCACATTCCAACCTTTGTATGACAGTGTCTCAAACAGCGCAAGCATAGCGTTGCCGACGTGATCAAAATTGAAATTCCTTGGGTTCGTCCTGTAAGGTGAATACTCCGCGAAATGCTTCGGATAAATGCTACAACCACGAACCATACACGTGGTACTAATATTTTCGGATGCATCCCTTCATCGTCTTTTCCAAAAACTTCAAGCCGTGTGACAAAGATCTTTTGCCAAAATATTCCCGTACAATTTTCCTGAAACATATCGAATACCAATTTTCGGCAACAGGTTTATCAGAAAATCAAAAGGATCACCCTGGACTTGATAGTTGGGTCATTGCAGGCGGCCAGCTTGCCTCCAACCATTTGCACTCCGAAGCTTGCAAAGACGAACATTACAACAATCATGAGTATGGTGACCTGAAATTGAAGCAGAGGAGATTTTCAAGCGTTTCAAACGGGGAGCTGGTTTTGTGTAGCTTCTTCGCGTCTCAGATCCTGCACTTCTAAGCTGCGTTCATACTTTCGGCAGCGTCCACCAGAGACCAGTAGCGTTCACCAGCGGCCAGCAGCGTCTCGAGGGCTAGGGAAGTCTAGGTACCGATCTAGCGTCTGGCAGCGTCTGCCAGCGACCAGCAGCAGACTGCTGGTGGAGAGTATGGGGCGATAAGAGAGTACCAGCTGTTCGCTGACAGACGCCCTCCTATTGTGCTAGACTCACTACCAGAGGTGCTACCCTCCTCTTCTTCCATACTTTACCAGCTATCTGCTACCTCCTATTGCCCCTTCTCTACCAGCTATCACCCAGACGCTCCCGATTGTTGGAAAGCGCTGGCAGACGCTAAAAGGATATCTACACTTCCCTACGCTGACGCTGTCGGACACTCGGAACGTGGTGGACGCTTTTAGTCGCTGGTAGGCACTGCCGCAAAGTATGAGTGCAGGCAGCTTCACAGTAGCAGCAACTAGACCGCTTCAGACCACATGAAGGCTGGTATATTAGCAATAAGGTGAGACAAGTTTAAATTACCAATAAAATTTCTTTGAATCCACGAAAAAACTCCATAACAACCCGTCGTATGTGTGGAACCAGTGTGTATACACGTAGAGGTCTCATTGCACGGAATATCATCAAAAGTTGAGCGAACGAGTTGATCTCGACATGACGAGGCATCCACATCAAAAAGGCTACGCTAGTCTTAAAATAGCCACTTTGTGGTTCTTGGTTGAAATCAAAAATGGCTGACGAAAAAAAATGTCCATTGAAATAAAGCTTAAAGATGACGAAATACGGAGGACAGAAAGCGATGTGCAATGTGTTGCAAACCAGAGAAAGAATGAGAAGTTGTGGACCAGTGAATGCGATTTTTGCCCAAACAATGAGTTCGTCGTCTGGTTGGGTCGGCACCCGATCATCCTTTGAATTCCCGGTTCCACTGATCGGGCGCGCCCACGGATAACAACCTACCATATCCACTACCACTCCACTACTACTTCCCTCACTTATACCCTGTTTAGAGTGTTGATCTAGTGCACAAATGACATATATGCCAGGATTCATTGTTCATTCCAATACCTCGGCAGAAGAAGTGCGCGGCGATGCCAGGCCCTTGCAGTGAGGAAGCGTGGGAGCGAGAGCGATATCCGCCACTGGCACGATATTTTGCATCTACGGTGACTATTAAGAAGCGAATGATGAGGATCAATAAAATAAGTGTACCGTTTCTCTCCTGAGTGCGTTTCTCTCTGGATGCTCTGCAAATTGAGTTATGAAACCTTGATTCGGCAGCCCCCTCCCCTCCCCCCTCGGCGCCTGCGCCGCCCACAGTGTGTGTGGGTTCTTCTTCTCACGCGCAGATTCTTCGTAAAACTTAATCCACATTTCTCCCCAGCTTCTTTAGTGCATTGGAGCCGATTCAAACTTTTTTAAATGAGTGCCTCATGCTCGAGGACACGCTCGGCTACTGCGAACGGTCAACACAACACAGGTGCGCATGAGGTTGCAGTAATAGTAACTACAGCAAGACTCAGCATTCACAAGGTATTTGTAGTCAAGAGAGAGAGAGAAGAGAGAGAGAGAGAGAGAGAGAGAGAGAGAGAGAGAGAGAGAGAGAGAGAGAAATAGAGCTAAGACAGAACTCAAAAATGAACGTACGAAATATATGAACATGGTCATCACGCCGCCGACATCACTGACAATCAGCCTTCGGTGTGAAGAATAAGCCATTTGCGACGATTTTCACCAGCAGTTCAAATGTCATTGTCATTACAAAAACGTAATCAGCAATCTGTAAGGCTTTCGTCAATGTTTGATCCAGTTGTGGACGGGATACATTGCTTTCAGTATCACATTCCACCATTTCTTTTTAAGACACCAGACCCCAATGAGTGGCTTTTTAGGTCCGAATATGAACTCGTAGTTATTAGTTGACCCACAAATGATAAGAGAAGACTCTCTCGAAGGCACGGTCTACGGGAGGAGTATAGGTGATGTGGAAGGGAAGTTTGCAGATGACAAGTGCATAGAATGGGCCTTTCCTAGTCTCACTCTAGTCTTGAACTATAGTAGGGCAAAAGGCCAAGAGAACTCATGTCGGGACTAACAAGGGAGGTCTTTCAGGTCGCGGCGCGCAATGGTTTGTTGCTTGTTGTAGGGGTCCATACAAGGATTACAAAAATGGGTTTCATTTTTGCTATGCGTTTCTGGGGAGGTCAAAAACTGAGTGAAAACAATTTGACAAGAAAGGGCGATTTTAACCGTCTTATTGGGCTCTGTTGTAGCTGTAACTTTGAGAGTGCATAGTTTATGAGGTGTTCCTTCACTATGTATCGAAAAGAGAGCAAAATAAAGTCAAAAGGGAAGTGCATGGAGAAAAGTAGTACCGAATTTACTTCAACGACTCCCAACCAGTGTTCGTGGTCGGCGGATGGCGGAGTGGATAGTGCGGTCGGCTCTTACGGAGAAGGTTTGCGGATCGGATCCTCTTGGCGCCGGATTTTTTGCATTTTTCGGATACTTTATGCGTTTTTCGGATTTCTGTCTCCTTGTGTTCCTGCGTGCGTGGTGATGTATATAACATGGATATATGCCATTTAAGAGCTCATTCTGTACACTCAAACTTCACGAGTCGACCCTACTTAACTATTGCGCTCTCGAAACATTACTGAGGAAACTCTTGCTGAAAGTTGGGCTCCGGGGATGACTGGATACCCTACTCACGAGTACGACACTCATTTTTGACCACGGCGCAGCCTATCGCCGATTTGCTGCAAGAGCATTCTTGCACTGAATTGTTGTCAACCCGCACGCATGGGCTGTTAAGCGCTCAGCTCGAGGAGAAAATTTTCGCTGAAAGTCTGTATATAGAGGTTATTGACGGCCCTGATCACGGTTCTGACCTTTATAACTGGCGCCTAGGTCATTTGGCGCCAACATGGCTCTGAATACCCCCCCCCCTAACTGCGGGTTGGGATGCTGCGAGAATCACTTGAGAAACTACAATGCTGCCTCACTGTGTGCCAAATAAAGTACTTTTTTTCACCTTGACTTGTATTGTTTTCGATGCAGTGTCGACGAAGGTCTCATTTGCTGTGCATACTCAACATTAGAGATAGAAAAAAGCCTAGAAAATGGTTCAAAATCGCTTTTCCCCAGCAAACTTTTCACCCATTTTTTGACCTCCCCAGAAGCGCATAGCAAAAACGAAACCCATTTTTGTGATCCTTATATGGACCCCTACAACATGCAACAAACCATTTCTAAAAAGCGCCACGACCTGACAGACCTCTCTGGTAAGTCCAGTCAGTCGACTCCTTGTCATGACCCCACAAGAGGCAATGGAGCATCCATTTCATACTACTTGCACATTAGCATCGCTTTTGCCTGGGAGGTGCCCTTTGGAGGCGATGTCTGGAGTCGGAGTTACTGGAAAAGGGAGGAGTCACTGGAGCGACTTCGAGCCTTGACTTTCCGCAGCGGAACTGGCACAAGGCTGTCCATTGCGGACTACAGTTTCCCATACAGTGTTTTGCATTTTTATAGGTCATCGTGGAGCGTCCTTCAACAGGGTTGCATGACTGGACCAGCATACCAAGCAGCGCAACACTGCTGCGCAAGCGATTCACCAGAGACGGGGGGGGGAGGGAGAAAATAGTTGGAAGACGATAAAGGCCATAATTAGAGTGCACGCACCGCGTCACACCGGCGCTTGTGAATATAGGGTCTCTGATATATCGCGTTGCCAGGACGGTGAGGCACCTTCCTTTCTGCTGGTGGTGTACAGTCGCCTTATGACGGTCGCCACTCAATATTGAGCCTGAAACTTGCGAGGATCCCCTAGTATGGGGGACGGGCTTTACGCACTAGAAGGGGCCCTATGGATCAGGTAATCGCGTTATGAACCTTCAATGCAATGTCAAGCGTTGGAAACGAACAAAGAGACTTTTCTTCTCTTCAGGCACACTTTTCTACCCCTCTCTGTCTCACTAGTCATGTGTGTAGTATGTTATGTATGTTATGTTATGTTATGTATGTTATGAATGACAGTCACTCATCACTGACCATAATAGTAAAAGGTAAAGATCAAGAGCAATGTAAGACTAGCGAAATGAAAAAAGAATGCGTAAAGTATACCTGTAAGTAGAGATTATTCATGACAAGGTTTTCGCCAGTGGTAGGCCATGGACTCTCGAATAACATTGAAATGCATGACAGTATCGTTATTGTCACCATACCCCAATCCAGGTAAGGCATTATCCCAATGAGAGTACTGTAAAGCATATCAGTAATTGCTTTCTGATGTGAGTGATAGCGCGGCCTGTTGTGCAAAGTGGAAGGGGAGCGGTGCATTCGGCGACCTGGGGGGGGGTCCGGTTTGCATATCTCACTCTGGCCGGCCCTGTGAGCTCTTGTGAAGCTTGAGCAAACTCGTTGAGCCACAGTGGTAGAACCTGTCAACTCTTGTAAGCTCATGAAGTAGCTCTATAGATGTTCTACAGGTCAATGGGAAGCAGCGAAAGTGCAAAATGCTTCTTCCTCCCCTCCTCTCCCACCCCCCCCCTTCCCGCCGCCCCGCTCTCTCAGGTTTCTGAAGTGCGCCAATAAGCGTGAGCTTGAGTTTAGTGTTTAGTGCTAGTTTTCAACTAGCGCATGTGAAACGGGAAAACCGTGAGAGGAAGATACGGCTCCCCTCTCTACCATCTCTTAGGATTTCCCCAACTTCTTACCACTTTTTCCGGATTTTCCTGGAAAAAACGGAATGAATGAAATAGGAAAACCACGAAAAATCAGCCACCTATCTCAGAAAATGACAAGGGGAATGCGACCCTTCTCCCCTTTACAACCCCAAGACAAGAAAAATCAACTATTAAAATGAAGTTTCCTCAGGCCAGATACGTTCCCCTCCCCTGTTGGGGGATCCTCGGCAACCATGTGACCTGGCTGTCAGGCTTCTATGTTGTTTTTTACCTCGAAACACAAGTATGAACACACCGTATTTCCTTGAAGCGTCGTTTTGTTTTCACACCACCGTTCGTCCCATCGTCTTGGCAGTTGTACCGCGAATGAACAACCTGCATTATTAAACCGTTAGCTAATGATGCAATATATAAATACTCAGAAGAACTTTAACAAAGGTCTCAAGACTTGCAGCGGCGATAGGAAGCGCTTGGAGCTCTGGAAAGGAAGACTCGCTGCGGCGATAGGAAGCGCTTGGAGCACTGGAAAGGAGGTACTTGATCTTGGAATAAGGGAAAGATGATTTTTTTGTCCACAGTGGACAGAGGCGCAACTAAAAAATAGAAGTTTTCTCACTACACTCGCAAACTGAGCAGGATGAAAGCCTTGTTAGGCCACACATTCCTTTGGTATGGACTATAGTACTAGGCGGACTTGATTGTAAGAGGATTTCTACACCAAAATCTGTTGAAGGCTCGTTCCGCGACAAACTATGGCTCCAATATCTCGCATGTGTCAGTTGATCCTGTAAGCGATTCCAGAAGCTGCACCACATTCAAAAATTTATGATTCGTAAGAAGCTCGGTGGAGTCTGAACAGCTAAACCCATGCCAACACTACTAGTTGAAAGCCACTCAGATACCTGTCGCCATTCTAAGTGCTCGGGGTGAGGCGATAAGGGAAAAGAGCTGACATCGTGATGATAACAAGAGTGAGGATACTCTTGTCTTCACTGTGTACACGGACAAGACAGGATCGTCAGGGGTCTTACACGGGGCGTTTCGGGCGGTTTTTCTGAATTTTCTTCTCTCCTTACTATCATATTTAGTGCCCTATCATTCTTATTTGAGCTTCATTACCACCACGTGTGGTCGCGGACTTTTCCTTCGAAACCCGCTCTCTCTGAATTAGTAAAGCAAAAATCTTACAACTGATCGCTGCTATAAACAAACTGGTGGCATGCTCAGTAAGCTAGAGTAGCTCCAGAGCTAAAAAATCAGCGCTGCATGGAAAACAGTATGATCAGAAACGTCAAGAAACTAGTGCAAAACAGTGTCGCCTTTTAACTCATACACAAATCAGTAAAATTAGGGGCACTATTTGACATTCACCCCGAAACTCAAAAAGTTTTTTGCTGCAACTCTGCCTATAGATGTTACACGATGTCGTGATCACGAATATGGCATTACAATTGACGCTGGCGCCATCTGGCGCCACTAGGCGCCAATTTGACGCTACACCGTTTCTCCCCGAAGTTGGTAAAACTTGCGTATTAGGTTGTTTGATGCTTTGATCGCGAATATAGCATTTATTTCTCGACACCGAGCAAAGCACCATTTAGCCTTCGGCGCTGTTTAGCGACGGGGGAGCATTTTGTACTAACATTGCTTCCCTAGTTCCGGTTTACGAATCTCACCATGGTAAAACTTGTGAACGCCTGTGAAGCTGGAGTAAGATCGTCTAGCCACCATCCTAAAACGTGTCAACTCGAGAAAAGGCTACCTAGATGGGTCGGCACATCTATGAAAAGCCGAATGCCCCCCCCCCCCCCGTCGACAAACTGCGCCTATCCTTCTGCTAAGGCTGAGCCTGGATGAAGGAGTGATTCACTTCAGGCCAGGTTCAGTCTCAGCACAGCGCAGATACTACATCAGCGCCGCGCCAGGAATAAATGTCATTTCTGTAATCAGAATGTCAAATAACCCCCGTTTATAAGTGCTCATCGACTTTGGTGATTCAGGGTGGCGCCACGCGGTTTTGGCCAGAGCAAATGTGATATTCATTTTCAGTAGGTCAAACTACCCCTAGGAACAAGTTTCCAGCTAATTAGGTGATTCAGGGTAATTTGGCATCAGCGCCTGTGACGCGAGCGCCAGGCATTTTCGGGCTTAGCAGGTGCGAACTACGTGAGCATATTTCCAGCCAAATATGCTCCCGTAGAAAAAAAGTCGGTTAAAAATCGGCCTGATTTCGGAAGAGTGTGTAGGAATAGTTCAATAGTGCCAAATTTGCTGCAGCCTGGAAATATTTACCCTATTTAATAGTGTACCAGGTGCAGTCAAATTGGACGCCTAAAGCCAGGCATGTCATGTCACCCTACCTCCCACATTTTGCCGCACATGATTCCATCAAAAATGAGTTCAAACATGGAACAAGCTGAGAATTCAAGAAAAGAGCAAGACCTAGCAGTCAAATAAGAAATTTGAAACGATTTCCAACTGAAAAACCCTACCTTCTTGCAGAACTCCCGTAATCGAGACGCTCTTCCAATAAAGAACAATGGGCGGTCAAAGAGTGGATGATTTTCTCTCATGTCTTCTTCGATTCGGGTCCTGAAACAAACGCATAAGTGTAGTCAAGTCTCTCAAAACTTTTACGGTTTCCTTAACATTTAATAAGAGAAGGCAGAATCCACGAGCAGTGCATTCATCAGGGCACACTTCCCCTATACGACATTACTGCGTTCATTCCAACCAAAGCGCCGAAACGTAGGCCTTGTTGAACGGGAATACTTGGGATCCTACATAAATCGCCTAACTTACCCGTTCCATCATTTTCTCTGAGTTGGCTTCAAGGAATAGCTCTGTAACTTATGCGGATCCAGAACAACCCGAAATCAGCCGCTAGGCACTCTACTGCAGCATACCATCCACTGTCCCCTAGGTGTCCTGTTGCTGCATGCACCACCACAAACGCACTGAGACGCGTTGATGGCGGTTCTGGTTCTCACTAAAATTTTTGATCCAACTATATGTGATTCATAAGTTTGCCTGCGTGCGTGCGTGTGCGCGTGTCGCCCTTTCCCGAGCATTTTTAGGGCGCAAAAGTGGTACATTTATGCTTAAGGCTTGTGAACATCAAATTAACGCGGAGCGTGCCTTCAAATCCAGCATACGAGCAGAGTCAGGGTCGCGAAAAATTTCAATAAACATTGAGTCAAAACGGTTGCCATTGCCCCCCCCCACCCACTTTTTTGCTACAAACTTCTCAGGAAAAACGGCGACTCAATCACCTCGTAATTTCGGCAAGATGACGCTTTTGCTGCAACGCACGTATGTCGATCTCTCCTTGTTTGAGATCTTTTTTTGGAGCTGAATCCGATGGTCGAGAAAGATCTCCATTCTCATTGTACAACATCTGTTTTGTACGCATCGTAGCGTGCAGGAATTTCTCAGACATCGTTTGCGACTTTCTGTAATTTCCAGCAATTATACTCTGCTCGTGTTGGCAGAAAATATACCTCATAACAGGAAGGATTGTATCAGATTTATTACGGTATTAGAGGTCGTGCTCAAATGACCTTCGGTAAAAAAGGTTAGAGTGTTGTATTCTTCCTTGCTTCAGTTTTCGAGCTTCTTCCAGACACTTGCGCGGAGTACGAGCCGAACGAATTCTCGGGGTAATCTATTAAGTTGGGCCCTAAGCAGCGGCATTTTTCAGAAAAATTTTCATATGAAAAGTGAGAATGCGCCTAGGATGTCATATATGTACCTTGATAGATGATTTTCTGCTCTACAAAACATTTTGGTTGCCTTCCTACTGTATCCACATTTTCGTCAATTTTTGAAATAGGGTCTCGGGTCGACGCAAATGCGAGTTTATGACAACACTTCTTCCCTTCATCTGGGCTCTCAAAAGGCAGAAGAAGCGCACAATGTGTGATGTATTCAAACAACGAACGACGCTTCCTGGGACAGCTTGAAACTGGTTTAGGCCATTCGCAGATGGCAATTCCCTTGCGAAGGTGCTTGTATGCAGGGTCCTCTTGAGAATCGACTGCCGCAGACCCCATCCACCAGGTTTCCCTCCCCGATCAGGTGAAGGTGATGCTTGATGAGAACATGACAGCCTTTCACGAAATATACCATTTCTCCATTTTTTGGCATGAATCTCTTTGAAATGTGATCTAGTAGGTTCTTGATAGACTCAGTAGAACAATATGTCTGATGCTTGCCTGTGAGGTCGAAACTGAAACCTTTAAGTTGCCTAAGTCGTTATGAGCATTTCTGAGAGACGTAGTTTGGCTGAGTCGACCATATACCTAACAAGGGAGCCTGAGCAGTTCTAGCTTTTCAATAAGAAGTGAAAAAGAGAGGCTTTTGAAAAACCTTAATTTTGTTGACCTGATACTTCCATTTGATCATGTAAAAGTTAGATGCAACAAAATTCCAGAAAAAAGAACCAAGAGAATTTTCCCATAGGGCAAGGAAATCCCTGCAAAACAGTATAAAATTCATTGACTAAACTTTTCGAATTTAGCGCTAAATTTCGTGTAAGAAAAAAACGCCGTTGCATATGGACCAACCCAATACTTAAACTCCTCATCCGTGGGACGGTAGGGTGGTTTTTGAGCATGGCATAGGACGGGTTTCTCGTGGGATACTTCAATTTGAAACAACTGCTATCTTGTTCTGTGCTAGATGTAGACATGATTACGACTGCTCCAAAATGACAATATCTCACGAAAACCTGGGCCGACGCCATTTAAAATCAAGTACGCAGCCACGCCTACTCGATCTCAGGGATTTTGAGTATACATATAGCCCGCATTGCCAGATATTTGCGCTATCTTGAATATTTTTGTGAGGGTAAAAGAAATTATCGACAAAATCTGATTGTTGTGATGCGATCGATTACGAACGATGTCCGAGAGCGTGACAGAGTCTACATGATGCTTGAACGCTAAGGGTTCTAGTTGACATGAAAGTAATAATCATATTACGGTAATGCGTCCCTCCGTGGATGTAGGCTTCCAGATGAGCGATAGAAGTGTGGCAAGAAATTCAGCGAATTCGTCACCGACTGCCGAGTACGATCCGATATCCTGAAATTCTGCTTATAAGACTTCACAAAAGTGACTCACAATTTTATTGTATATTCAGTTAAGAAGGGAGAAAATTAAATATTTGTAAAGAAAAAAATATGTGGAAAAGAGGTACAAGACTGGATACGCCGTCGCTTTTTCCACCCTCTTTTACATATTTTCGGTTTCAAGTGAATCCTCATCTATATTTCTTTAGCTACAAGTGAAACCTCATGCTCTACAGTAAGCCGCAATGGGAATGCCCTAATGGGTATGCGGAAACTCTCTCAACACGACCGCGCCCTCTCATCTTCTCCGATATACCCTTAGAATTCGTCGAGCAGGGAGTTTAGAGGGACATGGGTCTACAAGCAGAAATAATGCATTTGCCCCTCTGCTGGCCACCGAAAGAGGAGGAAGAGGGGTACAATAAAGTAAAATGAAATAGGACTGAGACCGAAAAATTGGACTCACTCAAGAAGATGTGAAATACTGTTTCTTAGTGAGATACTACCGATATGCCGGAAGTGTGGTTCTTCACGACGATATTTCCTCGAAGGCGCCAATTGCAGCAGATTTTTGGAATGATCGGATTCTGTATTTATGAAAATGATATGCCGTGATCGGTCAGTTAACTAGTGATAAGAGGAAGTTAGTTCCGAAAGAAGGGAGTTCTGAAATGCCATTCGGGCTCCTATAATGAAGAAACAAACCTTGTTCACAAACTTCAGTATCAACACCCTCCAGCGCAAACTGATGGGCAAAGCTGTCACGAACTTTCGGCATCGGAAAGTCGGAATCTACCCTAAAATTATTAATCAAATATTGACTACATGCATGTGATTATTGTTACTGTTCATACAAATATTATATATTACTAATAACTACGGTTGTTGTATAAACAATTAAGGATAAGGTCTCCGTTGTCAATCAACCTTTGTGGGATGCGGCACGCATTCTACTTCCATTCAGAATCGTAGTGGCTTATTGAATGCGATGTGGCCTATACAATGACTTGCGGGGGCCAGCCGATGTACAAGTCAGTGTTTTATCCTCCCAGACGAATCTGGTACCAATTTACCATCCTCTGGGGTGGGGGAGGGGTGAAGGCTACGTTGGCCCGGAGTCGACCTGGGATTTGAACCCAGGACCGCGCGAGAAGAGCGCCACTTGTCACTACACCACCTCATGCCCTGCTGTTAGTGTAAAAGTAAATAATATGTGATAACCAGCAAACAATATAGTGGCACTCTGGTCTCTGTCCTGTAACCGAATTACGATTTCTTTTGGCATCGCAGCTTACTTCTGTCTAGTTTCTTTTAGCTAATTAATGGGGACTGCAGCCCGAGATACTCCTCCCATTTTCTCCCTCGTGTTTATGTACAATCTTACTTGTTCGTCAATTCTGTGCTTCTTTCTTTGGGGGCAGAGCCCGCTTTCAGAAATGATGAGCTATGCGGCTCATAGTCTGACAAGGTTTCAAGTGATCCGCGGTGAAGAAGAGCAAAAGGCAGAAAAACTCTCCGAAAATTCCCTATATGAAACCCTATGCCGAACCGCCCTATGACAAAGGAAATTCGTGGGTGGACGAGTTGTCACTTATTGGTGCCAGCTCTTTGACCTTGTTGTCACGATCTCTCATCATTCGAAATGGGGAGATTCAGTA